AGTCAAGTGGTACATAAGGTCAAAGTCTGTTGTTAGAAGTATCGCACAATAGTTGGAGGTCCCAAGGAAGTTGTAATGACTGGAATTTTAATGAGCAGTTTGAGTCTTCACTCAGACATTTTAGCTCCTCGTCGGTGGCTTGCGAATGGGCAATAAGCGGGAAATCCAGTGGTGCATTGGCATCGATGCCTTGAATACACGAGAGAAAATCTGCGATGACATTGCTGGAACCTGATATATGCTGAATATTCGTGCTGAACTGAGCCATGCAATTTAAATGACGAATTTGTCTCGGGGAAGCAGAATTTGATTTTGATGTGAATGCATAAGTTAGAGGTCAGTGATCAGTAAATATAGTGAAGTGTTGATCTTCGAGATTATGCCTGAAATATTTTATAGCTGCATAAATAGCTTATTACTCTCTGTCATACATACTGTCATACATTTTTGTTCGGTGGGAGACAGCTTACATGAGAAAAATCCTTGCAGCTGGTAGTTATTAGGTGTCGAACGTTTAAGACAGCTCCGATGGAAATGTCAGAAGCATCAACCATAATACTCAGCTTTTGGTTAGAAGAGTGGTAGAAGAGAGTTGCAGCATTAATAAGGTTGTGTTTACATTTTTTAAATGCCTGATTCAGTTCATCGTTCCAAGGAATGGGGCGCTTATCATTTTTACGTGAATCTTTTAAGAGTTCATTCAGTGAAGGTTGGGTCTCAGCTGCCTTTTGTAAGAAGTGGTGATAGAAATTTATCATGGCTAAGAAATGTCTGAGCTCGACAATAGTGGTAGGTTTGGGGAAGTCGACAATTGTGTTTGTTTTTTCAGGCAGGGGTTTTACACCTGAGGCAGTAATGAGGCAACCTAAAAAGGAAACAGGGTTTTCCAAGTACGCATTTGTTAGGGTTTAACATCAAACCGTGTTTTTTCAAACGATCAAACACTTGACGAAAATGACGGATGTGCTCTTCTTCACTAGTTGATGCAATAAGGATGTCGTCAAAATAAGGGATGCAAAAATCAAATCCAAATAAAACTTCATTTTATAAAGCATTGGAAAGTTTGGTCTGAATTACGTAAACTAAACGGCATAGCCAAAAAGACCAAGAGGGGTAGTGATGGCGGTTTTTGGAATGCCTGCAGGGTTAACAGGGATTTGATGATAGGCACGGGCTAAATCAAGTGTTGAGAGTATGTTCTTTCCTGAAAACATTTGAGGGCAATCCTGAATATGGGGTACGGGATAACGATTCAGAATGGTAACGGTGTTTAAGCGACGATAATCCCCGCATGGTTGCCAGTCGCCTTACGAACCATATGCAGGGGGCTTGCCCAAGGACTTTTTGAAGGCTGAATGATGCCTTTTGATAGGAGAAAGTAAAACTCTTGACGTGCAGCTTGAAGTAATTCTGGAAATAATCTTCGAGGTTTTGAGAAAATAGGGGGTCCTTTAGTTTTGATGTGATGGAAAATTATTGACATTGGTGCCCTCTCAAAAGTTTGCAAAGGATTTGCCAAGCTGGGGTAATTGGCAAAAATTTTGTCAAATTTTGAGTTACCCATCAAAATATGAATGCTGGTACTCAGTGGGTTCACATTTGGAAGTCTACCATAAGAATATAGTTTTGTTTGTCCATCAATTAAATAGTTGATTTTAACGTCTATAAGTAAGTTGAACTTCGTGAGAAAGTCGACACCTATGATGGGTTGATTGATGTCTGCCAGGACAATATGCCAAGTACATGAGCGACGTAAGTTTAAATTGATGGTCAAAAGTTTGGTGTCATACATTGCTATTTTTGTGCTGTTAGCAGCAAAGAGTACTAACTCAGCTGGGTTTTTGGTATGCTGACTGTAACTCTTGGGAATGGCAGATAAATTGGCTCCGGTGTCAATTAAAAAGGTGAGTTTTGAAGATGGATCGGCCAAAAGAATTCGATTAATGTGGCGGTCGCAACGTTGGCCGACAAGCGATCTAGTTTTCCGACTGCCGGAAATTGCATGGAGAAACACACTTCCGTGCATTGGAACCAAAATAAGTATGGTAGAAACATATGTTATTGCACGGTTCTTTATACTGGTGATAGCGTCCATTGGATGTATTACATCTTTTGTTGCATTGGGAATGATTGTCTCTTTGTTCACAGAAATGCTCACGGCTGTTTTTGATGGCTAGCGAAAGTTCATTTACTTGTTTCGTAAGCTCTGCAACTTGCTGTTCAATGGGAGAGGTAGATGCCGTAGCAGCACTATTTATGTTAGGGCGAGTTGTGAGGTCTGTAATTTTATCAGCTACAACTGCGAGTTTTGGAAGATCATCAATTAAGACAGCAAGAATACTCTGTGTATTTTGCGGGAAACGGGATATCCATAGAGATTTCAACAAGGGTTCTCCAACAGTCTCTCCAGCGATGTTTCGCATACGCCAAAGTAATTGTAAAGGGCGTTGATCGCCAAGTTCTAGCCCCTGAAGAAGTGTACGGATCTTTGACCCCTCACTTTCAGAATTCCATTCAATTAAGCGTGTTTTTAGTGCATCGTATTTTCCAGTCACTGGTGGGTGTAAAACGTTATCGTAAACACTATTGAGAATATCGGATTCGATTGTAGATATCACATGATTGAATTTTGTGGAGTCAACAGTGATTTGGGCGATATCTAAACTGGGCCTCTAGTTGTGCAAACCACAAAGTGGGCTTAACCTTTCAAAATGGGGGAGGCTTGACAGAAGATATTGTGAGATATTGAGATCATCTGCGATGGGTTGTGGTGGAGCCATGATTCACAAAAACAATACAATACTAGTGCAAAATAAATAAAGTTAATGCAAGCATTAAAGTGAGAAAAATGCTTTTTGTAGGTATGCTAACCGAATATAAGCATAAGTTTTAAAGTACTACTAGCACTAAGAATTTGCTTGGCCTACCTCTGAATTATAGACGAAATATTTGCTCAGTCAGCAGCAGGTTCAGCATAACATAATTCACTTATGAAAAAATATTCCGAAAAACGTATTCTGTGATATGTAACCATGTAGTAGGATGTATATGTAGATCACTTCTAAGCACATTTTGCATGAGGCACTCACAAGCATCTTGTTAAGGAGACACAATTGTTTTTCACACTATTTTGATTATTTTGATGGTAACACGAAAATAATGATGGATTACGATATTAGTTTGCATTAAGAGACGATATTTCCACTTCACAGCACATTATAATCACAGAACTTGACGATGCAAGCAGGTTCCAGGAGGCACGTGTTCACTAACTTGACAGGTCATCATTTATGTCTTTTGAAATGGATGCCATTTTTGGGCTGCTGCAGATAAAACGATGATAGCTTGGCTCGATAATTTTAACATTTTTATTTAACACTAGGAAAAAGATATATATTTTAACATATATTCCACTTATACACAATCACATTGAATGTAGTTACAAGATGAGCATTTTTACAGTTCGCAAGTCCACGCATGAGTAAAAAATCAAGAAAGTCACATTAACAGCTACGAAACATCACGGAGGGAAAGAGAGGTGAACGTGTGCTTCACCGACGGCAGCCAGGAACAGAGTAACCAGTTTGAATTTTCCCCTAATGGAGAAGAGGAAGAAAGCTGGTAGCACCCTCTCTTGGGCCAGTGGACAAATAATAATAATAATAAAGAGTTCTCCACAGAACTTTGTAAAAAAAATTGTTTGTTTATAAAATTAAAGAGTTTTTTTTTTATTTTTTTTATGGTAAATTTTTATTCCCTTATGATCGTAAATACTTTATTATTGCATAAACAGTTCTTTCTAATTTTTAATTTTATAATTTCAACTTATCTTACTAGATTTAAATTGAGAATCTAAAATCTGGAAATCCCCCCCCCATTCAGAATTGCTGAAGTCACAACCATTCCAGATCTTGGACTTTTTACTGTATTTCACTTGAATTTAGTGAATGGCGTTCATTACTTTTTTTTTAGATGAGTTAAGCTGAACAATCTATCTTAATATACAAAAATAAAACATTTAACAATTTTTTGGTTACTTAATTTTGCTAACATAAATTGATGGCTGAATTTGAAATTTTGTATGCATGCAGGCAGTGTTCAGTTAGAATTATCATCAAAGCATCTTGAATTTAATTTTGTTCCTTGTGTAAGTTTTAGATATAGTTGCTTCAAGTGTTGATGAACTTTTAATAATAAAAGGAAATGCCATGTGGGGCTCTTACTTGCAATATCTGTTATATTTATAAAGCAAATATGAAACACAAGTTATAACAAGGTGAAAATCTGCGATAGTATGCTATGGTAGATAAGTACAGTTCTTTTCATTTTAAAGAATTCAGCAATGAAAATTTCTGGAATTTGATAGTGTTCAGTCTTAATTGTGAAATACATATGCATTAAATGCTTTCTTTTTTTCCTCTTTTTTTTTTTTTTTTTTTTTTCCCTTCAATTAAGGGAGAAAAATTTAAAAATAACGCATATCTTTGTTATATATGTCAAAACTCATTTAGTTTTATGTTGAAATATTATTTACTTTCCTGTCATATATCTTAAGTCCACCTCCCTATTTAATCCACACTATAAGTGGTATTTTATTGAGGAGCTTTTCTTGTTTTATTTTATGGAATGATTTTCCTATAAAATGTTTTAAATGAATAATGAATTAGCTCTAGTATTTCTAGTAATATTACCTAATTTTACCATGTTTTCTATCTGTTAACAAATAAATGGGAAAACTTCTATTATTTTATTGTTTTAACTTATAAATTAAAATTATTCATGTATAAAATATTTCAAAATAAAATCACTTTGTATCTGACTTCAAATTTTATTTACCATATTAGCAATATTGTCAAAAATCCTAAAAGTAATTTTTAATTTTGTTATGTGTTAAATTTGATTTTATCATAACTATTTCTCTAATTTTTTAATTCATATTATTTACATATTTTACCACCATTAGTTTGTGTTTTATAAATGTATTTTTTAAATAATGACAGCCCCATCATCACCTCCAAGAGATTTGACTGTAGTTGCATCTGAAGATGATAGCTCCCAAGTTAATTTGCATTGGCAACCTCCCAAACAGCCTAATGGTCATATAACAGGTACTACATACTATTTATTAATACTGTAAGTAACTAATTAATTTGTAAGTAGTTGTAACTAAGTAAAAAATCATTTCTAAAGTAACAACTTAATTTTATCAGCATTAAAAAAAAAAAAATTAATGTTTAAGTTTTTTTTTTTTTTTTTTTTTTTTATTGTGAAGAGTATTGTGAATTAAATTAAGTATCATTTTGTAAAAGTTTTCAAATTTAAGAAAAAGTATCCACTGAAAAGAAACTTTGTTTCAGATGTGAAATTTAATTGTGAAAAAATGTACTATAAGCATGTTATAACATGTTATAACTAGTTTTTAATCTGAATGATGCATTTTAGAGAGATGATCTTAAATTAGTTTTGATTTCTTTTGAAGTTGCATCATTACAAGTCAGAAAACCTCCTGGTTTTTCATCTTTCAGAGTTTGCAATTATGGACATCATTGATTGGCAACAACTGTGTAATATTTTAGGACATAAAAAATTAAGTGGATAAATAACGTTCCTCTGGGGTATTAAAAAATGAGGAGTAATAAATGAGTCTTACTGCGGGCAAAGTTTGGTGTAATAAATTAGTTTTACTACATTCAAAATTTGCATCATCACAAATTTTCAAATGATACTCTTAAAATTCATTATTTATCACAAATATTGCATGCACCAGCAGGAGTTGAATGTTTTTCCAAACTGTCTTAATTGCAAATTTCATCAGTGACAACTACTAATGTAGTTAGACAAAACAAATATTTATGTGGCCATAATCAATATGCATTCATTGAGTGGCTAGGCACCTGAAAAATTTAAAGTGTTTAATGTCTGATACTATCCTGCATTGAAAGGTGGCAAGTTTTAATTATTTATTAATTTGACTGCAGTAAGAGATGGAGGTGGATACTGGAATAAACACAGAAGAGCTGTCTGCCTAAGGGAAGAAATGCCTTTTTGAAATATTTTATGAAAGAAATTGGCATGTTCCCAAAAATATCTCAGCAACCAACTCATTTTTGGGATTCAAACTCAAGCCATACCACCAGCATTCAACAGTCTTTAATACTTAACCACTAGTAGGGTGAAAGATGACTAAAATGAAACAAATATAGTTAGGGTGAATTTTCAAAACTGTGAGCTACTGATTTTTCCTGAAACCTTCTATAACTGCATTCTGTAAAATTCAATGCTGGATCTGTATGACACTACAAAATGCATGCCTTGAAAATAAATTTACATTAAAAGAGTCATAAATTGATTCATTAAAACATTAAATATGTACCGTATTTGCCGGCGTATAAGATGCACCCCCTTTTTTATACACATTTTTGAAGAATAAAACTTTATTACTGGTCATTATTGTGAATTTACAGTATTTTAAATATAAAGTAATACAAATACAAAAAAAGAAAATCTGAAAGGTTTCAGATTTTAAATTATGTCCAAAGGAGCATTTTTTTTTAACATTTTGTCTGTTACTTTTATTTATTAAATATCACATTCTTCACATTTAAACCATAAAATTCAATTCAAGAGCAATGTCGCAAAATAGTTTTAAATTGAGCGTATCTTTAGAATTTCCGATACGCAGTCTCGTACGCTGGAGATAAAATTTTTTTTTCTGTACAGCGTTGCCATTGCTCGCTTTGAAATCCTTGAGTTTGTTAATCAAAAATTCAATAAAGTTTTACAAAATACGAAATCAATAATAAAACAAATTTCAAATTTGGCCTTCTACATGCCCGTATCCGTAGGAAGTTTACGTCGTTCAAAATTCAATGGCTCTATGTACCGTTGTTTTATCACAATGCGAGAAACATGCAGACATTTATGCAGATTTTTCACTATTTAATTGCTTCAAATATAATGCAGGATTCTAACATTTGGTGGTAACAGTTTGAAAAGTGAAACGGACATTTATATTGAACCAACGCAAAACCGCAAAACAAAAACAATAGTCCTTCAGGAACAAAAGCCCCTTTGGACAAATAATACATTCTGCAGCCCTGTTTCCATGTTCTTTAGCCTACACAATCGCACATAGCTTGTATGCTATGTTATAGCAATGTTGTTTTTGTGCTATAACTTGCCAACAAATTTAAGAAAATTGAACAGAAGCAATTTCACATGCTTAAAAGTCGTTCACAAAAATTGGAAAGTTTAAACAAACCCATCTGTGATTGTCGATGATAGCGCATGCGCATTCACTGAAATCTGCGTAACGTTAATATTCCCACACTTTGCAAGGAAACAAGAAAAAAATTGCGCAGCTCCGAATAGAGAAAATTCCCAGATGTGAATGTAGTCAAAAACTGAGTATCACGTATAAGATGCACCTCGATTTTCAGACCTATTTTCAAAGAAAAACAGTGCGTCTTATACGCTGGCAAATACGGTATGTTGATTTTCTTATTTTTTAATGATTAATGACTTAAGTTCAATAAAAGCTTAATTATCTGCCATTAAACTAACCAGAATATTAAAAAATTTTAGAAAAAACTTTTTGCAAAAAAGTAAAAGATTTGTAATGCCATTTTAGAGCTCGCATTATTATTAGCATATGTACATTTTTGGCAAACAGTATGATTTAGTGCCAGTAATAGATAAGCATGACATGAAAGCAAAATCATAAGAAGTTCGTTTCAGTTTAAGATAAAATTTGCTTAATTCTCAATAAGCATGCTTAATTTTTGAAAGGAAGGCTATAAGTTCTGTTTAATCCTCATATTTTGGAAAAAAGAAATGATTAGTAGTTAGGATTGCATAAAGTGGAGAATTTTTAAAGTTACAAGATCCAGGCATAGAAAAACAGACTCAACTTGAAAATGGTTAAACAGTGGTGATGCAACATGAAAAATTATGATAAGCAATTTAATTTTTTAATATGCTGTATGTGTAATTTGTATCTGTTTATTATTTAACTGAATAAAGAATGATCTGTTGGTTTAAACTCTTCCTGGAATGATTGTTGATATCTTCATCAACTTTTATGTTTGGCAGAATTTCATTATATGATTTTAAATGTAAGCTTTTGATATTCAAGTTGGTAATAAATAAGATGACTATTTTTATAATTTTAGCAAAATTTTGCCATCATTGCTTTGCATACTTTTCTTTAAACACTCAATATCATGCTCTTGAAGAAGCACTGTGCATGGCTAAATATTAGCAATTAATTTTTTAAGGCTTTTCTTGTTTTTAAATTGCTTAGGATTATTCTTCAAAATCCTTCATTTTAAAAAAGAAGAAAGCAGATTTAATTTAATTTAATTTTTTTTAATTCCAACTTGTTTTAACATAAAAATGCAGATGCCTTATTTTTCAGGCTCTCATGTTTCACATGAAAATACTTTAGGGGACTTCGTTCAATGTTAGAAAATATCTCATAATAATAACACCTAAGATGTCAGTTAGAAGCATAAATTCTAATTGACATCTTAGGTAGGAAAGCTTTAAAGCCAAGTATAATATCTAGAACTGCGCATGTTTATTTTATTCTGATATTTTGTCTTGTCTGTAATACACATTGTATGAACAGAATTCATAGGAGTATGCATCCAGACTTGCATAGTTAAGTTGATGACTTTGGGGGAAAATAAATTGTTATGTTTTTGTATAAGGCTTTAAAAATACTAAGAAAGGAATTCCTGACAAAATAAAAATGAGAAAAATATTCATTGAAGAGAAAATAGTTGTTTAATAAGTGTGCTTAGAATCTGGCAGGAAAGTAAAGAATTTTTTTTTTTTTTTTAAATTTTTTTCAAAAATTCTTTATCTCCTGATATTTTGTTAATTATCTTTTGATAGTCACTCATTCATGCCTCAGAAGTTTCTTGTACAGCTGGAGATATATGTATCGCAATTTAAAAATTGTTTAGCAAAATTTAATGTTAGGAATCTTCAGGAATAAATAAATTTACAGATATTATAAGAAAACTATAATCACATGGAAAATATGAGCAATCTATATTTTTTGTTAACATTTTAGTCAGTCAAAAAAGATTTCTTGCATATACTAAGGAATAAATAAATCATAGTTTATGTAGATCAGAAATGTATTTGGACTTAAGGAATAATTAAGTGTACAAACGTTATAAGGAAATTAAACTCCTTGCCTCATGATGTCGTGTGAAAGATTCAAAGGCAATGCAATACTTTTCGTTGATCAGGCTAAAAGTAAACATAAGGTATGAAATGTTCTAAGTCAGTTGAGCCAAAAATGAACACAACATAATGGAAGTTGTAGTAAGTCAATTATATCAAAAGTAAACACAGTGTGTGAGAGAGGCAAGGCACTATTAAAAGAAACACACTATGCAAGAGATGTGGTACGCTATTTCGGTTACATATGCCAAACACTTACTGATTTTTCTGGTTGCATTCTGATGTGGAGATAAATTTTCTTGAATATTATATACCTTGAAAATAACCTCAAAATAAATATTAAGCTTAAATGAGAGCAGTAAAAATTCTGCTAACATTGTAAAAAATTATTTGATGGATATTTTTAATAATGATATTGACAGTAGCAATATTTTACTTTCTGCATGGAAATCTTGTAAGCAGTTGAATAGTGAAGGTAATATCAGCAAAGAAGACCACAGTAATCATCAACAGTTGGAGCTATATATTTAAAAAAAAAAAAAAAAAAAAAAACTTGTGAACCAAAAGTCCAGAGCTGCATGGAGTTTCCTGGAATAAAAGTGTTTTAAGCCAGGTGGAAAACAAAAAAGAATTAGACATTTGGAATATAATATTTGATCATACATTTTGAGAAAATATTGTCAAGGAAACAAATCAATATACAAACCATATAGCAAACAATTTAAGTAAAAGACAAAAATAGATGAGTCATATCCTGTAGACTGTGATGAAATGAAAATATATTTTGCACTATATATAATAATTGCTGAAGTTAAAAATTGCCAATATGTAAAATGTAAAATTAAGCTTTTAAATAATAAATTAATAGGGATCTTTAATTCCTGCCTTCATTCTAAAATAAGAGAGCAATAATTTTCTATCTAAATGGAAAAAAAAATCCGTCATTTAATGTGTATTGCGGATGTATTGACGAAGTCTAAACTTAACACCTCTACATTAAATTGTCATGTGATCTGAAATATAATTCATATATAAAAAAGTCAATTATGTTGCAACTCCCTCTTCTTCTCTTTGCTCGTCTCTTCTGCTCCTTTTCGCTGTGTTGCTAGCCGCACAAAGTTAACTTCTCTAAATTTGCCCATTGTTTAAGATGTAAGCTATACAAAATTGGGGGGGGTGCATAGCAATATCCAAGAAATAAATTATTTGTGGAATTTAAGCCATGTCTACAAATTTTTTGGTTTATGCATCCATCGTTCTAACTACACAGCAAAGTCTTCAAGTTATGATGCAGAGAACTGCTGCCAATCCGGTGCAGCTCTCACCAAGTCATCTTATTTTAATAATAATGCAGTCTTTATTTAAAAAATGGAGCAATTTTATTACATCAAATGGCTCATTCGAGCTTGAGCTTGTGCAAAATGACCCAGCTTGATTGAACATTGGTTTATAGAATTGAATTGCAGATTTAAAAGTGCAAAATTGTCTAGCAATATCAATGGGGGAAAGAAAAAAGGAAAAAAATCATTTTGCCCTGCCTTTCTAGTGATTAAACTTCCAGTCTACCTCTGCTTTATAATGAGTAATCAACAGTTGGAAGTAAAAAGAAAATATTCATCTTCATACGTGAACAAATGTTTCAATGTTCTTACACTAATGTTTGGTCTACATCCACTTTTTTCGTGTTTACCTTTATTCTTTAGCTATTTTATCACCTAAATTAAATTATGTTCTTTTCAGTGGTTTAAAAAATGAGAATTATGCAACGGATTTTACATTTTGCATATAAATTTAATGAAACAGTCTGAAATTTAATTTTATTGATTTTCAAAAGCTCAAAATATTGTTTAAAAAGTGTCTCGGTATTCCCAATATGATTTTTAATTAAAAAAATTGAGAGTTTATTTAATATTATTTTAAAAATGATGTATGCTAAACGTTTTTCATTACCATGAAGTAAGTGAATTTTAATTAAGTACTGCTTTAAAATTTTGCTATCTAATGTTGTTTGAATTAGGAAAAAAAAAAAAAGTATTATTTTTATGAAAATAATTTAAATCTTATGATACCAAAAAAGTAGTTTTTCCTATTTATGTTTTACATAATTAAATAACGAATTTAAATATTTATAATTATTTCATTTAGGGAAGGTTATTAAAATTACTGTAGTAATAATTAGAAATGAGGTTATTGTTTAAAAATTTGAATTTTAAGAATTTTGCATTACTTTATGAATGAGTTAATTTGAAACGCTAGTACAGAAAAATGGACATAGAATTGTGTTTTGAATGTAATGTAGAAAGTATAATGTTCGGAATATTGAGTACAGTTATGATGAATATAAAAATACTAAAAATTTTATTTAAAAAAATAGAATAATTGCATGTATAGATATAAGTATAATGAGGGAGTACTAGTTCAAAAGAGAAGCCCTGTTTTTACCTCTGTTATTTGTTCCTTTTACCCTCCTCATATCAGGAGATATAAACTTTGAAGGCTCCCACCTTATAATTTTTTCATATAATTACTTTTTTATATATAAGTGGAGTGCATCAATTGTTTTATAAATGGAATGTATAGTGCAGTTCAAAAAGACCAGTTGCTTTTAAATAAGGAATGGAGACCTTTATAAGCAACTGCCAAAGCAACCCTTAACCACTCATGATATTACATGAGTCAGGTTTAAATGGTTTTGCTCAACAGATGGAAATGTTTTAATTAGAGAAAGCTGTGGGGTCTTCTAGTTTTGTGTAAAATGAGAAAATTAGAAATGTAACAATAGCAATAAAAACCATTATTTTAATATATTAGTATAAAATTTATTATGTTAAAAATATAAGTTATAGTATTTAAAATTAGTTATGTTTTGAAAATTTTGAAATTTGTGGTGATTATTCAAAATAAGTAATGTGGGTGCAAAAACTGCGATATAATTGCAAAGTATTGCAAAGCCTTCCCTAAAAAAAAAAAAAAATCTAATTGTGTGGACTCTAGAACACAAAGAGTTTTGGACTGAACAATTTAATAAGAGCTAAAACAATATCAAAGTTTGTATTTTTCACTTATGTAAATAATTATTTTGCTCAAAATTTCAGGATTTGCATCTTTCAAATTATTTCTCTTCATTTTCTAATGCTTTAACGCTTTCTTCCTAAGAAAGCTTTTCTCTCACCTAGCCCTTTCCTTCTTGAAAGGGGGGATATGTAAAATATAAAAATCTAGTTTTTAAATAATAAATTAATAGCTCTTTAACTCTTGTCCTCATTCTAAAATAACAGAGCAATAAATTTCTAACTAAATGAAAAAGATCCATAATTTAATATGTATTGTGCACTTATCGATGAAGTCTGAACCCAGCACCTGTACATTAAACTGTCATGTGATCTGAAATGGAATTCATATAAAAAAGTCAATTATGTCTCAACTCCCTCTTCTTCTCTTCGCTCATCTCTTTTGCTACTTTCCGCTGTGTCGATAGCAATGCAAAGTTTACTTCTCTAAATTCACCCATTATTTAAGATGTAAGCTGTACAAAATTGGGGGGGGGGCTTAGTGCACCCACAGTGATACTGTTCATTATCCAAGAAATAAAATTATTTGTAGAATTTAGGCCATATCTGCAAGTTTTTTGGTTTATGCATCCATCGTTCTAATTACTCGGCAAAGTCTTCAAGTTATGATGCAGTGAACTGCTGCCAATCCATTGTAAAAATCACCAAGTCATCTTATTTCAATAATGGAGCAATTTTATTACATATAATAATGGCTGAAGTTAAAAATTGCCAATTACAATATTCCCTAATTAGACCTATTACATATAATAATCGCTGAAGTTAAAAATTGCCAATTGCAATATTCCCTAGTTTGATCAAAGAATTTTCCTATCATCTAGTAGTTCAGAAATGAATACAAAGATGAAGTATAACTAGAGAACTATCTATTTGATTACTTTGTGTTTAGTTAGGCAATTCAATGATATAACCAGCAGTTCTCTAATATAACTGTAATGTTTGTAATATAGCTGATTACCATAAATCTTTCAGAAAAGCATGCAGTATTTGGACATAACTGGTGCTGGAGTTGTTTCCATTTCGAACGCTAAGTCAAACTGCAAAATGGCTTGATGTGTAATCAACTTTGTTGGTTTTTATGGCACATGCTCTAGCAATTGAGATTGTAAGACAAGCGGTTACTCACATGAAAAATACACTCATGTCCATAAATTAAGGATAATTTGGAGCCACGCGGAAATCGAACTCTAAAATAAATATATCATCTGTAAAATCACTACACACATCTTCAAGAATCATATGCAAATTTCAGGAAGTAACCAGATGACACTGATGGTACATCACAATGACGAAAGTGTAAGAGAGTGATATATAAGGAATACAGGCAAAGAAGTAAAATTGTTCGCAGGCGCTTTATAAGCATTTCAGTGCAATAACCGATTAGTTATGACACAAAGGACGCATTTGGATGATTTTTTACGTGGTAGAATTATCGGCCATCTGAAATGTGGGCGTACCTAACTGGAAGTATCAGACGAACTTGGAATTGCCCAGAGTGTCATCTCCAGGCTTTGGCAACTATTCCAAGATGATGGTAATGTGAGTAGACGTTACAGCACAGATCGCCCCAGAGTTACAACGCCAAATGAGGACCGGTATTTGGCAGTTACTGCCAAAAGAAACAGGCGGAGCACAGCCTCAGACCTGTCTCGTCAGCTCTCTTCAGCCACTGGTACGACAATTTCAATGCAGACCGTGTACAGACGCTTAGGGCAGATTGGTTTATATGCTCGTAGACCTGTCAAATGCGTTCCACTTACTGCAACTCACTGTCGCCTGTGGTTAGCCTGAAGTAGAGAGCATGCATTGTGGACACCGCAACAGTGGGCTTGTGTGATGTTTTTTGACGAGTCAAGATTTAGCTTGCAGTTTGATTCCAGCAGGACTTTCATATGGGGAGCTCCAGGTACCCGTTACCACCAAGAAAACATCATTGAACGACACCGTTACGGTGGTGCAGGAGTGCTCGTTTGGGGTGGAATTATTCTGGGTTCCAGAACTGACCTGCATGTTCAAATTGGAACCATGACAAGCCAGATCTATCGGGACGTCATTCTGGAACAACATGTACGTTTGTTTCGGGGCGCTATGGGCGCACAATTTGTGTTTATGGATGACAATGCTCAACCTCGCCGTGCAAACATCGTAAGCGAATGCTTTCAATCGGAGGATATCACCCATATGGACTGGCCAGCATTCTCACCGGACTTGAATCCAGTAGAGCACGGGTGGGACATGCTTGGCTGACGAGTTGCAGCCCGTCAACATCCTACATGTCTACCGGAACTTCGAAGAGCATTCCTTTTTGAGTGGTGTAATATCCCCCAAGATCAGATCGATAATTTGATACTCAGCATGCCTAGGCGTTGTACGGACTGTATTGCATCGTCTGGAAGACATACAATGTATTAACAATCATACCAACCATGTAATACTGTTTTTTTGTAAATAGGGTTTTTTTTTTTTTTTTTTTTTTTGTAATTTGCTCCAGGGAGAAAAAATCGCTATTTTTTTTTTAATAATATCAAACATATAGCATCTTTTTTGTCTCTTTACCTTTTGTTTAATAAATAAGCTTTACAAATAAGTCAAATTTGTTTTTCTTCTAATTCTTCCTTTTCCTGATTTTGCATTATCCTTATAATTTATGGACATGAGTGTATATGTGTTTAATTGTTCTTTGTTAAACTTTTATTCAGTCATAATAGATTCTTTATGTATATTATTTTTTAGGTTATGTCATATTCTATACAACTGATAAAACGCAAAGAGATCGAGATTGGGTTGTTGAAGGAGTAGTAGGAGATAAAATGACCACAGTTCTTAAAGGTCTGACATTGGATACTACATATTATTTCAAAATTCAAGCTAGAAATAACAAAGGTTATGGTCCTCTTTCATCTGAAATTTCTTTTCACACAACTCCAGGTAAGTTAAAATAGAATTTAATATTATGTTTATTATGATTTATTATTGTATGTATTTTAAATTTAAATTTGAATTGAATCTATAACAAGTGATATGAATTCTGAAGAAAAATTTCAATAAAAAGAATTATGTCTTCATAGTTATTATAAAATTTTCAGTTGCATTCTCATTTAATTTTTATTATCTGATATCCACCTGCAGTTTCTTAAATATTTTTGTTGCTTGCAAGCTTTAATAATGTATAATAATAAATATTTTGCTCTCTTTGATTGTTTCAGAATATCTCTATTTACTACCTTTTGCTTTTTTCATTTTATATAATTTATTTTTATGTTACCTATTTCTTTAAAATATTTTTATTTGGTTTGCATGAATATTTTTTTTATTTTGTTCAACTTAGGATTAGCTCATGTGTCTGGATCTGCACTTTTTGGTAAGATGATTTATTTCAAATATAAATTATTAATTATTTTTATTTAAAAATTTCTGTTTTATTAAAGCATGAAAAATCATTTTTGTTAAAGTTATATTAATTTATTTTATTATTTATTTTGTTCACTCAATTATTTTTGTGTTATGCTGGGAAAAAACTCTTATTTTTTACTTTGTTAATGTAACTCATATACATTAGTACTGTGAATTTATATAATAATTTGTTTCTATCCTGGCAACATAAGACCAATATTTTGCACAGACACAGTGTTAAAATAATGCACTGACACAATGTTAAAAAAATTGTAAGAAACAGTAAATTTTATAAGCAAAATAATAATAATAGTGATAAAGGTGATGTTTATTTGCAGTTAGTGAAAAATTTAATCTGAATGCATTGTTATGTGATTACTAATACCCAGAAATAAGTGTACTTTATATCATAATTATGAAAGTAAAGGATCTTGTTGCATTTGGGTATTCTTTGAAGACTAAAAGAAATCGTGTACTGAATTCTGGTTCAACACAGATCTAGACACATCTTTTAGAGATATAATAGGCATCCTCCCCTCTGGGTAGTTTGAATGCATTTTATTACTTATCTGTTAATCCATATTTAGCCAATGTAGTTGTGCAAATACATAGCAACATGGCCAGTTAAATGTATTTAAGCTTTTAAAATTGCTAACTTTTTTTTTCCCCTTAAAAGATTAGAACTTTTGCATTGGGAATATGGAAATATTTATGTTTATGTTAATAATATAAAATGATTAAGCTGTAAAGCAAAGCTATAATTTTTAAACATTTCAAAACTGAATTTTCATAATATTCTGTAAATTAAGTCTTACAACAAAATTCTGCTGTCCTTTAGTGTGATATTGTTAGAGATAATCTCAGACCCTGTTTCTAGTCTGCAAATGGTCAATTAATCCTTTTACTCTGATGCCACACATACCTGCTAGCAAGAAATGCACTCATTTCCCAGCCAGTACGCTGGCATAGCAGAGCTTTTTCTCATTTGCCACCCTGACTATCACACATTTGTACCAGTGTCCTGTAACATTTTAAAGACCTCTTGATGCTGCCGTATGTCTGTTACTTTTGGACTGAATAAAGGTTTAGGATCCTGACCTTCAATCTGATCACATTCTGTGTAACATTGGTGTCAGCTATTGCCCGAGGTGGGCATAATATAGACAAAACTCATCTCTTTAATTCACCGTATGATTCATCTTTCTATATCCCTTCGAATCCTTTTGCTGCTGTGCAGTCTTTTAGGGTTACTATGCAAGGTTCTATTATGCTTTGCATTACTTTTATTTCAGAAAACCTTGACTTCATTTTATCATGCTGAGCAAGCGTTATTTATCAAATGAATGATAAATGAGCCAATTAGTGATGTGAATGAGAGTGATGATTCATTTTCTAAAGAGTTAGAGAGTCATATTTCTGGTAATTTTCATATGGACATTTTGTTAGAGAGCTCATTGTGTGTCTACTTTCCAGCTCACATGAAAGATTTTGTTTCTTCTTGTAAATAGACTTTCTTGTATTTTTTTATTAATTTAAAAGTCTATTAATCTAGTTTATCAGTTAAAACTTTGGAATAATTCGAATACTGGTTCCAAAAACTATATCTCAAAGTAAGCAATTTTTTTTATATATTTTCATGTAAAGGAAAAAGATTATTAAATTATAATTTTAAGATATGTGATAGCTTAAGTAATAATCTAAAATAGTACTGAAAATTATAATGTTAGGATGTAAAAATTTTTTATGTAATTTTTTTAAAGTTAAGTTAGGCTTAACACACACAAAATCCCCAGCCTAAGGAACAGCTCCTTTTGACTGCCATCTGTTCCAAGGGAACTTCTTAAACAAAGGCACGCCATCTCAAAAGGGTTAAGATTACCACATAATACTTGTGTGCATTTAAAGTTTGTGTGTGGCTTGTCTGAAAAATAAAGAAAATATTTTTTTTCTGAAGCTCAAATTGGCTGAAATGAAAAGTGGAAGGTTGAGGTAGGTGACGGGTGATCAAGCTCTACATGTCTCAGATCAAGTCTTGTCATGGGTAAAAGTATAGATGAGTATCAAGCAGCTATACCTGATAAAAGTTTGCTTAAAATTTGGAAAATCTCATTCTGAAGCTTTCTATATATTGAAGACAATTTATGGAATGCTTTTTCATCATTAGGTGATGCAAGTATTTGTAAATGGAAGGGAGAGCATTGTGGAGGGAACAGCATTCAGAGTTTTTTCAAGAACTGAGAATAGTGTAACTCATATGAGCATAGACGCATATATGGTCGTACTATTCTCTGTTCCCAGAGAGATGATGTTCAAGAAAAAGAACTGCTGTAAAGTCACACATTCATTGGCTTTGAGTGAATTTGTGGTTTAAAAAATATTACACTTCTCCTTCTACCATGTAGCTCTGACACTTAGCTTCAGGTGATTTCTTATATTCTCCAAGCTCAAAATTTGCATCAAAGGTCTTCATATTATAATAGTTGACAACATTTAGATAGCTTCAAATGCGGGGTGGGATGGGGGGTTAAACAAAATCTCAAATGAAGATTTCTCCCACTACTATGAAGAGTAGCAACAATGCTGGAATAGCTGTATTCAGTCACAATGGTGTCTGTTTTAAAAGTGATAAATTATAATCACATGTATGTTCAATTAAAAATATTCAAATTGTTCTCATTATTTTTAGTATGGACCACACATTACTAGATTTGTTTTCATAACTAGTGTAAACAAAATCAGGAGGTCTACAAAACATATATCTAAAAAGTAAAAACTCGTATTTCTTCTGTCTTTCACTGTTATTGATTCCTCTATTTTTCTCTGCTGCTGGTATTCAAAGCTTCATTACTCATTATCTTAGTCTGCAATGATCTGAATACAATCATTTCATTCATTCCGAATAAGATGGTTAATCTAATAAGATAGATAATTGCTTTTCATTATATTTTTATATATATATATATATATATATACTTTTTCTGAAATATGGCTTTTGTTTTTTACTTTTCTCTTTATTACTTTTATTATCTATCTATTATTATTACATTTATTGCTTTTGAAGTTTGTGTTTACTGTGCTCTGTTTATCAGTTTTGTATTACAGTTTTTGATGAACACAAATCTGTATAATTCTTAATACACATTTAGATGTATCATTTTTTAAAAAATGTTATAATGCATTACTTATTTGAATTCTTAAGTATTTTGATACTTCATTACCTGTTTTCATTCTAATATTCAGTGTAAAGCTATATCATATGTATTATAGTACATATTAATATTGCATGATTCTGAAATATTTGAATAGTTAGTAAAGATTATAAAGTCATTCATGTTATTTTTTATTATATATTTCCTTTAGATAATAAAGGGTTAACCAATAGCTTGTTGTATATTATAATTACTTGTGTGTCTGGTATCACATTATTGATCATCATTGTGGTTAGTGTAGTAGTATGCCGGCGACGTAATGGTTACTTGGCAGCTGATAGTGGCAAAAGGTAAGATTTCTTTCACACTTTTTATGTACTAATTGATTTTCTTTTTTTCTCAATTGTGAGATTTTATTGAATGCAGTTAAAATTTAGGATAATACAGTCAAAAGTCGTTAATTCGGACACCCATAATCCGGACCTCAAAGCTACAAACTTTCTGCGCATGCGTCGCATTCACGCATGCGCACAGGCGTTTACGAGAGCGCATAAGACCTTACGCTGCGAAATGTTTGTGCGCATCCTGCGCGTTTAATGTGTAACGGAGTTATAAACGTAAGCTAAAAGTTATCTAATTCAGTTAATGTTGCAGATTGCAATGTTCCTTAATCTTCGAATTGGATCCGGCTTATTATTTTTTGCAGACTGTTAGAGCAATTTTATAAAAGTAAGCTTGAACTTTCGATTATGTCAAATAGAATTCCGATAATATTTACTACAAAGCGAAAGTTATGTTTTGAAATCCAAAATCTGTTTATCAATTTCACGCTGCTCTGCGGCAGAGGGGGGGAAGTCGAAACGTCATTATTAGATTATGATAGAATTAGAAAGATTATGTCAAATAGAATTTCCGATATATATTTACTAATATGTAAATTTTGTATCTACAAAGCGAAGTATGTTTTGAAATCCGAAAATCTGTTTATCATTTCACGCTGCGGATTGGAAGTTGATCTGTCAGCCACTATCCTTATCTTCAGAGCAGATATTTTTATTTTATTTGGTTATAATTCCTTACTAAGTGTAGTATTTCATCTCGATATACTCCGTCTTTGATATGATTTAAATCAAGTTCCTCTCGCTTTGCTTCCGAAGTGAAGAAGTGACCCAGAGGTTATTGAAAACGAAAACATTTCGATTGACAAATTAGTCCGTATTCTCAACACAGCAATTATAGGACTTGAACAGCGGAACTTTGTAACTAACAAACAAAAATTATGTCTGTTTAATAGAATTAAAGAGAAAAGTAATTATCACATGAAAACGAAAGCAACTTACATTGAAGAAATGTTTAATAAAGTAAACAAATAAAATATTAAGCTTTTTTCTTTTTGTAAATTTTGATACCCTTTAGATCATAATTGTTCTTTATTTCATAAATTACGGTTTCATATTTTTAATTTTGTAATTTCTGCATGCCATCTTACCAGATTTAAACTGATGATCTATAATCCGGAAAAATCGATAATCCGGAATCGCCGAAGTCCCGACGAGTCCGGATTAACGACTTTTGACTGTATACTTAATTTCAGGTAATCTGTTTTACTTACTAATCCAAACTGAATAATAAAATGGACAAAAGTTATTTCTCAAACAAAATGCCAGTTAGATTTTATGCATTACTTTGTTGGTTTCTCAGATGATTCAGCTATGTGTATATTCTGTATGATAAAAATGCAGATTTTTCATGCAGAACATATAAAATTAACTAACTGTATATAAAATTGATTTTGAGAGTTCTTGGCATTATTTCCATCTCTCTGTATGACAGAATTATAGCATTAATTAACTAATCCACAGGTAGGGTAAATAGTATGAATTAAACAATTGGCACACTTAACATTTTAATTAAATTTTAGAACTAATTAAAATGTGTTTTTCTCTTGTATATATGTTCTCTCTCTCTCTCTATTATATATATATATATATATAATTGTTCAGTTATTTTCCTGATTTGTGGTTTCTAAGTTTTAGATTTTATGCTGTTAGTTGCAATATGTTATATAATAAATTTATTTCAATTGTTTGGGGGGGGAATCACTTTTGTACAAAATCACAGCAGTGTATGACTTGCATGGTTATGTTAGTGTCTTATTTGAATGATATGCCTATTGCAAACAGTTTTACATTTTTGATAAATTTTCAGTAAGAAAGAAGGAGTAGACAGACTGCAGTCCAGCTAGGCCAAAGCGTAGTGTTAGGTTCAGGGTGAAACCTTAATTCAGACTGAGTTAGTTTTAGTTCTCAAAGCATTTTGATTGGATAGTTAATAGTGCCATAAAATTATTATTGGCTGTTTTATTTCTATTTACATTATCAGAATTGTGTAAGAGTCATATGGCATGGATTAATCTCGGAATGACACAGTGCAGAGAGATCACTATTTTTAGAACAGAGAAAGAAAATTAATTTATGCTGCTAATTTACTCATTTACATATTTATTTCTCTTACACTTACATACACACACACGCATATATATATATAAGAGTCTTTATTGAATATTTATTTTATCATCATTAGTAAATTGGATTATTTGAATTATGGCAGAGCACTTGGGACTAGATATGTCTTCGTGGAGGATGATTTGTATTCAATTACGTTTGTGGAAAATGGTAAAAACTCCCATGCAGCTAGCCCAGTTGCCTGGATATGAAGTCTGGTTTTAACCACCTGTATTCAGTGGTCTTAGCATTCGATTACTAGTGGGCCATCAATAGTAAAAAAGAAAAAGGATAAGATATAGTGTGAAACCCATATTACAGAAATCTTAATGTTTAATTATTAACATTTGTTAACAAGCTGTTTTGATTTTCTGACAGTTGCTTAAATTTTTAAGTGGGGAAAATTTCTTCAAATATGTCATACTTCCAAAAAATGTATCAATTAAGTAATGAATAATCTTGTAAAAAAGCAGGTTAAACATTGTTTAAAAAATGGTCACTTTTATTTCTCAGCATAATCTCTGTTGAGGACTATACGCACCTCACTAAGTCCGTGTTGCGGTGTTTTCAACTCATTACAAAAGTGACCCTCCTTTTAAAAAATATCAAAAATTGTAAAATTTGCCATTGATGGGGATAGTGACTTCTTGCTACAGGGTTGCCATGCTACCTGGAAAACTGGAAAAAGTCGGGAAATTCGAAAATTGACCAAAAAGTTCAGGGGAAAAGTCAGGGAATTTCATATGGTGATCTCTCCCCAAAAAGTGAGTTTTGCGCCGACATTGGAAATGATCACTTTCTTGGTGAATTGTGTATCGCATGAGCGTCATTCGAGCAGCTGGCATAGAGCCAATATTCATAGCTCCAATTTGATTCTCTTTTAGAAAGGAAAGGCAAGTTTCCAGAAACTTTTTTTGTTTCCAGTAACCTCGAGAGCCGCATGTGCAGTACATGTTGAACTAAACAAAATACTTATTCTCGTATAAAACAAAAGTAGTTTAATGCTAGTATATGGTACTATGGAGCTTGGAATCAAAGAGTATGTATTGTTAAGAAAGAAAACTCTGCAACAGGAGTGGCTCCGTTCCAACATAGAGGGAAACAGTTGCATGCACTGTCGCCAAAGCTTGAAGCCGGTGTCGAAGTTCGAAGGTCACGTTATCAAGAGTTCATAAAATGAATATCTTTAAAATTTCTTTAAACTTTAAAGGAAAAAAATATTTTTCACGGCAAGAAATTAATTAATAGATAGTATTTTAGCAAATGGAAAAAAAATACGAAAATCTTCGTTTAAATTATTGCAAAAAGTCAAAAAAGAAACGTTCTTTGACAAAACGTTTCTTCGTTGTCACGTTTACTTACACGTGTTCCTCAGTTTCCTGTGCACATCGCGGAGATGGAAATTCTAGCCACCAGGTTCTGTCGCCAAATCACTTGCCGAATTTTCCGTCCACTTTCTAGCGGCGTAATAGCATTACATCTATGGAACCTTTCCTTCTTTACATAGACATTCTTTGATTAGAATATTCTATTCTAACTTCCATGTATGGTACGCATATTTCACAAGTGCACATCTGTGTAGCGATTTCTGGTACACACGGGATTTGATGGCAATTTTCAAAACTGTGCCCAAGGCCTTAGCGTATACTAGGATTTTACAGCAAAATCTTTTAAACCTTTTCTTTTCTTTTTTAATGTACGATACACACAGGATTTGGCAACATTATGATGAGCAGTGTATACGGGTCATTTTGGTGTTGGTGACACTTTTCAAAAATCATGCCAAGGCCTGACCATATACTGTACAAAGTTCGGTGGTTCTGGATTATAGATCATCAAGTTAAATCTGCTAAGATGGCATGCAGAAATTATACAATTAAAAATATGAAACCGAAATGAAAAGAAATTATATCTAAGGGTATAAATTTACAAAAAAAAAAAAAAAAAAAAAAAAAGCTTAATATTGGTTTTGGTATTCTACATTTCTTTCAATGCGCGCATGCATAAAGTTTGTGGCTTTGAGGTCCGGATTATAGATCATTCTGGATAATGGACGTCCGGATTATGGACTTTGTACTAAACTAGGGTTTTACCGCAAAATCTTTTAAACCTTTTTTTATTTTTTTTTAATAAAATACCTTATTTGTCATTTTGCAGTAAAATAAAAAAATAGTAATCAGTTTTCTAGGCTAACCATTTAATATAGCTATATTCGCTAAAATATTGTTAGTGTATATTCATTTTTTTAGACCAAGTGTGGTAGTTCGACTCACTGCAAATTGAACTGATTGCACATTTTGTTAGTCATTATTGAGGGCGAAAAAAAAAAGCACAACGTATACAGCATAAACTAAGCTACATCATCTTAGCCAGGTGCATGGTTATAAGTAGAAATCAGGTTACAGTTGGAAATACCTATAAGATCACAGTTACATATGAAAATTTAAAAGATACACAAATAATACAAAAGAAATCTGAAAATTACCACACTTGGTCTAAAAAAATGAATATACACTATTACAGTTATTTAGAAGTGAACAAACAATTATTCCATTTTTCTTTCTTAATTTAAATTAATTTTCATCAATTCTTGATCATCACTCACTCAATAAATTCCAAATCCAGTACTGGCTGGTGCACCATCTGGCATTTGCCCAAGTAGTTTATTTGCCAACATAGTTATAATAGTTGCTTTGGATATATATAAGTATATGTAACGGCAAATTTTTTTTTAAGAAAAACCAAATTAATTTACCTCTTGGCACAGCTAACATGCATTGCACGATAGACTGAATTTTCTAAAACACCCTGGAAAAGTCAGAATCATTTCCTTTTTGGGGGCACCCTGTTGTTAGATTAAATTTCTTCACATTGAACTATAAGTTCTGAATTCTTGAGTTTTTTTTTTTTTTTTTTTTTTTTGTTTGTTTTTTTTGTTTCATCTCTTCTTCCAGGTGGTCAAATAATAATATCCCTTAAAAAGGTCCATGTTATTGTTCTTCCTATCCACAAGTAGACAACTCTGATGATTACTTTGGAGTCTTATATAATTGATGACTGCTTTATCAAATGGGAAGATGAAAAAGCATCATCTTCCAAATTCATAAAGCTGTCTTCCACACTTTCCTGCTTTTACTATTTGCTGTCCACTGCTTTTACAATTTGCTGTCCACTGCTTTTACTATTTGCTGTCCACTGCTTTGACTTAACAGTGGATCCATATTTCATCTACATCACAAATCAGCCCTAAATTTTCTGTAGATTGCAATTGGGCATCATCAAATACTGTTGCAAAATCTCCTTTTACATGCATTTTTGGTCAGCATTCAAACAATTATAACACCCACTACATACATACCTTTCTTTCTTTTTTCTGTACATGTGTGTGTGTGCATCCGCTTTTCCTTTGAAATGTCTATAGTCCAGTCTTGTGTATTTTCTTAGTTGGTCTTTCACAATACTACCATGAATAGATATTTTTAGTTACATTAGAGTTATGGTTACCTTCAACCAGGGCTGTGGATTCGGCTAAGACTACGACTCCCACATATATATATATTTATATGTAAACAAATACACATGGTTACAGCTTATTTTTTTAATATAAAAGAAATAATAGATGCTGCAGAAGAAAATTGATGGCATTGCAAATTATTTATATTAATTAGCATTTATGATGAGATGGAAAAACTGGCATTAGTTATTTCCAAGAAACAGTATAGCTTCGGCAAGATCTTCTTTGTTGGAGGGCCATAGATCCGATTTGATAAACTTTAGAGCTGAGAACTTTCCACACTAACTTGAGTAGGAGGAAGAGTTGTCACTGTTAGGGCTACTTCTTTTAACTTTTCAGAATAGATTTTCATAAGTTCTAAAAGAGGTGTCTTGCAAGCACTATTTCTTCATTTTATTCTTATTTTGAAAAATGCCTTCAGTGAAGGAGCATCCATTGCAAGCTCTGGGATATACTTTCTATTTTAGGAACACTGTAACATCTGTTCAAAGATCAGGAAGATTTTTTTAACACCAAGTGTACATAAGACTTTACCATTGAAATTTTGTAACCCATAGATGGCTAGAGAATGTACCACTTGCATGCTTTTGAAATTTGGGAAGATACAAAAGGTTATGTCAAGCTAAATTGAGAATGGAAAATATGCAAAAGTAACTTGCAAATCATATGAAATAATAAGAGATCCAATTAAAGAGAAATTAATGCCTGTAAAATTCCTTTTTTTCTTCATTTGCATGGCTAAATTAGTCAAATCCATTATGGAACTGTACCAAAGTGATGAATCATTTATTCCCCCCCCCTTTTTTTTCTTTTGATTTACACAAACTAGTAAAGCAACTTTTGCAGCATTTCAAAATTATAAACAAAAAGCACATGTTAAAAATCAGTTCATAACTGAAATATTTGTGTAACTTTGATTTGGAAGGAATTGTTAATTAAATAAGCAAAATTAGTTTAGCATTTAGGGCTGATATGCTCTTACAAAAGCTATATGCTAAAAAAGAATTCATGGATAAAGATTACCTTTCTCTTAAACTTGACTCCCAAACTTTTATTTTACAACTACTTGAAAAGCTGATGGAGAAATGTCCAGTTAATTATTCAGTAACTTGAAATGCTGTTTCAAGTTACTGAATAATTAACTGTGAATCCATAGTATATGGTGCAAAACAGCACAAAAGCATATTTTTAAATGAAAAGTATATTGATGCATTTTTCCCAGAAAGGTCACACTGCAGAAAAAGAATGAAATAAATATTCCAATTTTATCAAAAATGTTGTACAGTCATACCTTACGGAATTTAAATCCTATGATATGAAAAAAAAAATGAGATTACATACTTTTTTGCACACATTCAATAATGAAAAATATTTCAAGTTACTGTTAAATGAGGATTTAATATCAATAAAAATATAGAAACAGAAAATCTGAGGAAAATTCGTACATTGATCAGCGCATAGTTTGTGATTATGTGAAACATGCTGGTGGGATACACAATGTATAAAGTATGAAAGAGATGAGAGTGGCAGCTTCATCAGCTCGTTCATAGTATCAGTTAGATTTGGAAGAGCAGGAGGGGAGAAAGAATAAAATCGACAGATGAATTGATTTCTGTTAAAGGAAGAAAACTCTCTTAGAAATATTAGTTAATAAGAAAATACTTGCTGAAATGAACTTGCTAAGAAGGGTGAAGTTACAAAAGACTTTAATCTTTTTAATAAATCTAATGATATGTAATTTTATATAATGAAATTTGTAAAAGACAAACTCTGCTAAGAGAACTGGATTCAGACATTAATGAAAAGAGACAAAAGGCAAATCAGAAATAAAGATAATATTATTCATTCTAAGCACAAATCTTTTTTTCTTGTTTCTTTTTTTATATTGTATATGAATATAATAAATATGGTTTGTTATTATTTATTTTCCTTATTTCTAACTGAAATTTTGTTATTAAATCTTGTAATATAGTTTTGCATAGGAGTTTCTCCCCCTGTTGTAAACTAGTTCTGCAATTTGAACTGTTATTTGCAATTAAAAAAATAATTGTAATTGTTTTATATGGTTGAATAATGCTGATTCTCTCTTAATAAATACTGAATTTCTCATGCTTTAAATTACAGTCAAGTCTGATTTTTCTTTTAAGGTTATGCTGTTATGTATATATGTAATTAAATAGATGCTTTTATTTTTTTCTTAAAATGTACTTGAAAAGTGCTTATAGATGCTTATTTTTTTAACTAAAATGTGGCTATTAACTCTGTGGCAGTGTAACTCATTTTCCTTATTTTAAAGCTATTGACACCAATCAAAATTTTAATCACACCTATTTACAGCTACAAATCTGCTAAAGGAAGTCTTGTGAAAAATAAAAGTGCTACTAGGGATCTCGTACCTCCAGATTTATGGATTCATCATGATCAGATGGAATTAAAAACAATGGAGAAAGGGCATAATCCAGAATCAAACATGACAGTTACACCTATCCAGAGAATTCTCAAGAACTGTGTCACGAACCACTTTTAAATACCTTAGAAAAGAAGAAGAGTGCCTACCTAGGTATTTCATTTTTATTAAATGATTTCATGCAGGTAATGACTAACCATATAATAAAGATTACTGCTTTTCAGGTTTATGTAATTTTGAAATAATATTTTATTTTAGTTTGTATATTGGGTTTGTGTGTGTATGTGGAGATGAATGAATGTGTATTGCTGGTAATAAAATGCTCAAAACCATAACATAGAGTGATAGCAGATAGTAGAGTGATAGATTTTTAATCTGAGCAGTACCTTAGTTTGGCAGATTTTTTTTATTCTGTATTTAAAAAAACTTATATTATTATTTAATATTTGGATTATTATTTAGTGACATTATTACTAATGTATTTATTATATACAGTACAAAGTCCGTAATCTGGACATCCATTATCTGGAATGATTTATAATCTGGACCTCAAAGCCACAAACTTTACGCATGCGCATACATTATGCATGCACGCATAGAAAGAAATGTTTAATGAAGTTAACAAATAAATATTAAGCTTTTTCTTTTGGTAAAATTTTATACCCTTTAGATCATAATTGCTTTTTATTTCATAAATTTTCATTTTTTTTATAATTCGATGCGCTACGATTAACATACGAATCGAACAAATGGGCCGAAGAGAATTTTATTTCCCCCGGGTGCATTATACCTTTATCCATACTATATATATATATATATAAATGTAATTTCTCATACATTATTTGTTTTGTGCAGCCGGGGCAACAGGAATGAGACAAATTTTGGAATATAAAGTGGTAGGTTTATTTTAGCATCCATCTCACAAGCGTTTCTCCTCGTACCTTGAGCAGAAGCCCTACTTATACATATGTGTGCGTCACGAGGCTCCTCCAATCAGCGATATTAATTGAAATCACGAGGTGACGCTATCTTCTCATCAGGAGTGTTCTTAAGTACTTTATGTAATATGACAGATTTATGAGTTTGGCGATTTGGCGGGCGCCAACAGGTTAATATATTTTATACTAAAGAAAGGATTTCGCCAAAATTTAGGAACAGGGATGCAATTTAGGTAGAGAATCGCCAACACATTATTAAGCAATATTAATTAGAATTTAATTTAATCAATTGATTTAAAAATATCATTACAGATTATCCCCCCCCCATCTGAAAAGGCTTGCAGTCGCGGCCGTCGACCCAAGACAGTCCAGATAGTGAGAGCAGAAAATTTAGTTATTAGGAAATTAAGTGAGTAGGAAAACTGATTGGATTTACCTCAAGGCACACAAAATGTTTACATAAAATATGACATAAAATATTTGAATATAATTAATACAGTATATAAAATATAATAAATGATTAATGAAATTATAATATAGTAACTAAGTGCAGAACAAATAAAGCACTAATAACATATTGCTGGTTAGCTACGCGGCAATAGGAAATAGTAATATAACTGAATTTGTAAGTTTATATCTTAGGGCATGCCATTCACAGTTTGTGTATGAGTCCGTACAATCATTAGAGTTGTCATTCAGGCTCATCTTCAGTCTTTTACTGGTCTTTGGAGATCTCCGGATCATTTAATTAGCGCTAGAATTATGGATTAGCATTGGCACTGAAAACATTTGAGTTTTTATGTCACGATACTAGAGCTCTTATACTCTTGTTGAAAATACACATTTTGCTAGGTTTTTAACATATTTTGTCACTCTATTTTTCTCTTATTAATGATAACAAAACAAAATTTAACTTCCAACATCCATACCAGTTTTTTGTACACGATGCTGCAGAAACATAAAATGAAATTCAGAAATTTCAACAACTGAAATTTAACTTTTTCAACTGTTGCTACAATTTATAACACAAACATAGGAAAACATGAGCTCAAGGAAATGTGAGGGTATAGTACTCTACTTGTAGTATAGCCTCAATTGAGTGTTTCCCACACGGAAAGTGCATTGAACCTGAAACTCAAGTTTGAAGGAGCCCAGTAAAAGAAAAGGGCAGACAAACTTTTCAGACACTGAGAGATAAATCAACTATTAAGGGGGACAACAGGATGAAAACTAAAAGAAGGGTTATGGATAGTTTATTGATTTATAAATTTTGATTTATTCATGATGTAATTTAAAGTTCTCGGGTGGATAATAGAACCTTAATTTTGACGCATGTACAATCTCAGTTGGTTTCTTCTTCGTGTGAAAATTTTCCCTGTCGATTTCATAATTAACTTCAGATAATTTATTCATAATCTGATAAGGGCCTGAATAGGGTGAAGTCAATTTTCTAGTATTTGGGTATTCGAATTCCTCGTAAAGGACAAAATCTCCAGGTTGAAATTTAGATTCTACAAATCTGATGTCATATCTAGTTTTATTCTTTCGGTGGTATTCGATAGTTCTTTTCTTTGCTAAAGCCCTTGCTTCATTTAAGGAAGGGTATTTATTTTGATCAATTGGAGATTCAAAAGGGAGGTTACCAAATAGTAAGTATGCTGGGGTGAACTTAGTTACCGTATGAGGGGAGTTGTTATATTCGATAACAACTTGCTCTAGCACTTTAGTCCATGGTACTTTTTTAGAAGAAGAATTTACTTTACATTTTAGTCGACTTACTATTGATTGATTTACTCTTTCTACTTTACCATTTGTCTGGGGATGGTGAGATGAAGTTAAAAGTTGTTTAACATTATGCTTTTTAAGAAATTTTTTGAATCTAGAGGAAGTGAAGGCTGCATTCCTGTCACTCAGAATTTTTTCGGGGACTTGTATTTGAAATATTTGTTTTAGACAATTGGCATAGGTTTCTGAAGTTACACTTTTAGAGGGAAAAGCCCAGACATATCTTGTTGCATGGTCAATAACTATATGTAAATATTTTTTTGTAGAATTATAATAATTAAATCCTCCCACAGTGTCAATAGAGAGACATTCGAAAGGTTTGTCGGTTGGGGGTACGTCTTGCATAAGACCAAATTTTTTCTGTTTTTTCTTTTTATTAAGTTGACAAGTATGACAATGTTTAACAAAATTTCCGATATCTTCGCTAATATGAGGCCAATAATATTGAGGGGTGATTAAGTTAAGCATAATTTGAACTCCCGGGTGACCAAAATTTTCATGGGTTTTATTCAACAATTTTAATCTTAAAGATTTAGGTACTACAATTTTATAAAAATTCTTTTTCTTAATTACCATCATATCATTTATCTCTTGGTAATTTTTTCCGCAGACATTATCAGTTTTTTGTTGTTGGATTATTTCATTTCTATCAAGTAAATGTACATAATGTTGGAGGTGCTGTGTGAAACAGGATGTCTAGAAAGCATGTCAGCTTCAATATTGGTAGAGCCCTTCTGATACTTTACTTCATAATTGAACATACTTAGTTTGAGTGACCAACGGAAGAGTCTACCTTTTAAATTTTTAACATTTTTGAGCCAAACGAGGGCCGCATGGTCCGTATGTATAACAAATTTTTGTCCATGCAGATAGTAATAGAATTTGTCTAGGGCATCTACTATGGCCAAACATTCTAACTCAGTAATCGTATAATTTTTCTCATAATTTCTTAAAGTTCGGGAATGATATGATACAGGGTGAAGGACATCATTTTCATCTGGTTGTTTCAAAACAGCTCCAACAGCAGTTTGAGAAGCGTCAACAAAAATATGACATGGCCTACTGGAATCATACAATTGTAAAACAGGTTTGGAAATCAGTATTCTTTTCATTTCGTCGAAAGCTTTTTGACATTGGTCATCCCATTCCCACTTGACATCTTTTTTCAAGAGTCTGTTTAATGGAGCTCTAATAGTTGCATAATTCGGAATGAATCTATGATACACATTCACACTTCCCAAAACTCTTTGTAACTCTTTGGTGTTACTGGGGTTTTTAAGTTTCTTAATAACTTCTATATTATGGTTATCGGGAATTATTCTACCATTTTTTATTTCATAGCCAAGAAATGTGATCTGATCTCTGGCGAACACACATTTGTTTCGATTCAATTTAATATGCTCCTCTTTAAACACCTCAAATAAAATTTTTAAATGTTCTAAATGTTCCTTCTCAGAGGAAGAGTAAACGATTATATCATCAAAGTAACTGCAAGCGAAATTAATTTTATTTTTTGTTAATATTCGTCTAATTGTTCTGTTAAAAATTGCAGGAGCATTTTTGAAACCAAAAGGGAGTCTTAACCATTCGAATAATCCAAAATTCGTGCAAAAAGCTAATTTCTCAGTATCTGCAGGGTGAATCGGGATATGCCAGAAACCAGATCTCAAATCAATTGTAGAAAATACTTTTGCTTTACTTAATTTGTCTAACAAAGTGTCAATGCGAGGAAGAGGGTTTGCATCTGTTTTAGCCAGGGAATTCAATTTTCGATAATCTATACACAATCTAGTTTTCTTACCTTCCTCACGTTTAAGTACTAAAGTCACGGGGGACGAATATGGGCTACAACTTTCTTTAATTATACCTGCTTGTAATAATTGATCAATTTGGGTCTTAATTTCCTCTTCTTCCATAGGGGATGTTCTATAAGGTCTTAATGATACAGGCAAATCAGAATTTAAATTAATTCGTTGAGGTTCAATATTAATTTTTCCTACATCATACTTATTTTTAGAAAACACAGATGAATAATCATTTAACAATTTTTCCAAGTTATACTCTTTGTTATCGACAGTATTAGAAACAGCATTTTTCACATAAATGTTAGACTGAGAAACTAATTCCTTTGGATTTGTAGTCCGAGATTTACAGGTTGGAAAATTTCTTACATCATCATCATTATTAACACATGGATAAACATTTGTTGTACCACCTTGAAGTTGGAGGTGTAGAGATATGGGTCGGCTGTCAAAATGGCAGTCATCATTAAGTACAATAGCTCTCTGTTTAATTTTTAAATTAGTACAATCAATACTCAACTCAAATAATTTGCATTCATAAAGTCCTAAAATTACATAATTCAAATTATTATCAAGAACAAACAAGGTAATTTGGTTACTAATCCGTCCAATTTTCATTTGTATACAA